TTTGCCGTATAACTCCCAATAACAGCGGCATCCTTTGCGACGAAAAGTTTGATGATATGCGCCATGGGCAAAGTGACTCTTTTTTTGCCCCCCCCCCTGTATACTTTACTTCCCCCTTCATTCGTAAAATGTGATGTTACCCAACGTAATCACTCAACAATAAGAATTCACAAGTTATGATGCAAAGTGGATAAAAAAGAAACACAATGGGCTACTTACGCGAGGACTTCACCAGTGTGCGTTCCGAACTGTGCATGATGTCCATCCGATAAATAGAGTGGTTTCGGTGGCTTCACCTCTCGACGACCATCCCTAAAAATGTCATCGGAAAAAAAAAAAAACATGAAATAAGGAAAAAGTTAAAGAATGATGGCTGGAAATGACATACCTAGTGTAATAGTAATTCTCTGACATAATATGATGAATTCCACCAGGCAATGTTGGTTGCTCTGCTGGACCAGGACGAGCGGATTTGTTTTGGGGAACCGTAACGGGTTATGATACTCAGCCTATAATAAATGGAAATCCACAAAGTCATGCGTTTCTCAGAGAGCAGAGAATGAAAGGGGTTGGAGGGTGGGGGAGGGAAATGGATGAAGCGGTAGTATATGGGAGTAATGAATGAAAATAAGAAGTACGGCTGGCGAAATGGGATTAAAGAAATATTCTCAAAACAATGATTAAATAAGGAAACCTGTCTCGCTGACTAAGTATAAGTAGGTGAGGTTAGCTAAAAGAGAAAGGGGCTTTTGCGCTTCTCGCAGCGCGAGACTTTTTGCACTGCTGAAACCCCAGATACACCATCAAACAGGAATGGACGTGGGGTTCTCCAGCGAGAAGTTTCCCACTGCAAATAAAGAGGAGTCGATTTCTGTCCCAAGGCTGGTGTCAGAGTCACGCGAATCGCAAAAATCGCAAGTGCCCATTTGAACAATTGAAAAACTGAATATGAAACGTGGAATCACGAACAGTCGTCAGTCATCCATCACCATCAAGCAGGAATGGCGGCGTGATTGGAGAGCCTCAGGCTGGTGCCGAGAGTCGGCGATCCGTTCCGCGAGGTTTCACGGAAATCACAAGTGCCCGATCAATACTGCAAGGTGTTCTCCAATCCTGCCGCCACTTCTGCTTGATAGTGATGGCTGAATGACGACTGCTCATGATTCCACTTGTTTCATATTCAGTGTTTCAAATGTTCAAATGGGGCACTTGCAATTTTGCGATCCGTCGCAGGTTTCGCGCAAATCGCGAAAATCGCGAAAATCAGCGAAACCTGCGACGGATCGCCAAAAAACTTGCAAGAAGTGTAGTGAACATAGGAACATTAGAATATGAAAACAAAGTGGAATCATGAGGCAGTCGGTACGTTCAGCCCATCACTAATCAAAAGAAAAGAATGGCAGGAATCGGAGAAATCACCTATTGCCAATCAGAATCGGGCAACTTGCAGCATTTCCAGTGATCCGTCGCTCGTGAAATGGCGCATAATTCAGCGAGATCAGCGAACTGCGAAGCTTGATCGCGGACTCTGACATCAGCCTAAGGAAAATACACCGCGTGGAATTCGGTACTAGGTTAGGCTGAACAGCGATAATAAAATAAAATTTTTCAATAAAAAAAGGCAATTTGCAGAAAGAAACGGCAATTGAGAAGCAACAAAGAAGTGTAGAAGACAGTGAAAGCACAGCACACATATGAAGCGCTCCAGCCTTGGGGACAGGGCCGACTTTAACTGACAGTAGGACTAAAGCCTAGGGGAGAAACGCCAGAGTGAACACAAAGTGTACTTATCCTCCCCAAAACACCTTGTCCACCCCAAGCTTAGTAACAAGTACTAAGCATCCCACTAATTTCAATGTATCCCCAGGCACAACAGCGGCCTTATTTGGATTGTGACCGCCAACGAAAATTGACTGAAACGAAAACCAATGAACTAAAATGAAGGACAGGAAACAGGCACAGAACAAAAAAGGGGCCGATGGCAAAAATTAATGCATGGCCCAATACATGCAAACATGGTAAAAGAAAGCGAAAGCTCACAAGATTAAGAATCAAGCAGTAAACGAATAAGAAAGCAGAAGAGAGCGCCTATGTAGAAAAATATGAGAAAAATTGACCTAAATTTTGAAAAATGTAAATTTACCTTTCCGTCAGCTGTTGGAAGGCCTGGAGGCGGCGTGATCGGTAACCTATCTACAGCGAGCAGCTTATTGCGCACCCATCGCCAAAACGGCGTCTGAGTACGGTTCTGTACAGTTGCGGCCGCGATCTTGCGACCGCTCATCGGTGCTGAAACAGTATTTCAATAAGACTGAAGGAACAATATGAGTGTCGGAACATAGCTTTCATCCGGAAATGGAATATATACGTATCGCCTATCAATTCTGCAACAAAACGACAGCGTATGTGTGATGGATACGTCCACGAAAAGAAGACGCAAGATCGCAAAGTATGAACCGAATAGCGAATACGACCTGAACCACACGAGATCGAAATGTTTTTACGCTTAAACTGAAAGCACTGAAGGTGGACTGTGCTCCATACACGAGCAGAACACTAACGAGGAAGGTCTTTCAGGAAATGCCCAGCTTTCTCGAAACGGTTTTTTGCATGATATAGGGGCACGTGCATGGAACACAGAACTGTAGTTCATTTTTCCTGAGCGGCCCTCTGAATACCAAAAAAGGGGTGATGAAGTGGTCCGTGGTTCGAATCCTCGCAGTGACAATTTTTTGCATTTTGTGTTGGCGTTTCAAAATTCGCGAAAAATAGCGTCAGCGGAAACAACTTATGTCATATCTATAATTAGGACCATCAGCAACCTTTATACGTAGACTTTGGCTAAAAACTGGTGAAGAAAGTTAAGAACGGCAGTTCCTTAAGAAATTTTTCTTCGCTCCTTTTTTGGTATTCAGAGGGTCGCTCAGGAAAAATGAACCACAGTTCTGTGTTCCATGCACGTACCTCTATATCATGCAAAAAAAGCGTTTCGAGAAAGCCGGCCACCGCGGCGCGGGGCATGTTCACTTACCTACCTCAGTGTGGAGCAGGAAATTCGTGAGCCAGTGGAAATGTAGCCAGCCTCCCTCCCCGAGCCACATTGAGCCAAAAAGCATACGTAGGACGAGAAGTTCATG